AAAGAAACCTACTTTTCCTAGAATAAGATATCTCTGTTCTCACATTAATATCAAAAGACCTGAGGAAATAAAAAGGGTCAAAGATCAGGACAGGGAAACCCTGGAGATGGAACTGAAGTCTCTGCCCTAGGTTATATGGTTGGGAGTAGAGGGTTATGGCATTATTTATCTTTCTGCTCAGAGACATATTGGTAGTTTGGGAGTGATTAAAGAGTACGGGGGGTGTCTAGGCCCTAGGCTGTTGTATCTTATTCTGTAGTAAGGTTTAAGCAGTGCTATGCAGTAGAAATTTAACATAAATCAAGTATGAAATTTAAAAATTTCTAGGAGCTAAATTTTAAGAAGTAAAAAGATCTAGGTGAAACTAATTTAAAAAATATATTTTATTTAAGTCAGTATGTCCAGAATGCTATCATTTCAATATAAGCAATCTAAATATGAACTGCATTCTTTTTTCTAAGTTCTGAGTCTTTGAAATTGTTATGTAGTTTACTTTTTGTAGTATCTCAATTTAGACTAGCTACATCTCAAGCATTCAGTAGGGTAGATGTTTTGGCTAATGGTTGCCCTAGCAGACAGTGCAGTTTTAGGTTTTATGTTACTTTAGATGCTGGGTGTGGTGGCATGTGCCTGGTGTCCCAGTTATTCTGGAGGCTAAGGCATGAGGATCACTTGAGACCAGGCTGGTCTCAAACCCAGGAGTTTGAGACCAGCCTGAGCAACAGAGCAAGACCTTGTCTCAAAAAAAAAAAAAAAAAAAAAAAAAGAAAAGAAAAAAAAAAGAATTAGAGTGTGCCTCATGCCAGGATATCTAGAAGCAGCAGGATTTTTGATATTGGAGTCACAGACATCTGAGGTCCTACACATGATTTTTCCTAGACTTTGGTTCAGGGGCCCTGGAGTTTATGTGAGTCTGAAGACATATTCCCTATTCCTGCAGATCAGAATTGTGTCCCTGATTGCTAATCCTCTGGTTTCCAGGAGTCATTTTCCTGGCTGCTCTGCTGAATTGGCTGCTTCTGGCTCTTCTTGACCCAGCTCTTTTGAGTTGTTTCCTACCTCCCTGACTGATCCTTCTCAGTTTTCTCCATAACTCTGCATTCTTCATACTTCCCTTCTTTATTGATGTTCTCCTGAGTGCTGCCCTTGGCCCTTTTACCCTCACTCAACCTATGAGACCTGGATAATCCTTTTTAACTTTTTAAATTTTTTTTGGTGGTGCTGGGGATCAAACCCAGGCCTCATGCATGGCATGTAAGCACTCTGCTACCACACCACACCCTCAGACTTTTCTTTATTTTATCATCTTTACTTTCAGGGATCTTAAATATCTATTTCGCTGCACACTTTCTTGATCCCTGGCTTTAAGTATCTATCTAACAATTACTACTACTATTGGACCACTTTCTCTTTTGGAAGATTCCCCATTGCTCCCAAAAGCCAAATTTGCACCAGTCACCTTTTCCTCACGTGTATTTCTCCATTAGCATTATTTATTTAGTTAATGGCATTATTAGTTAAATGATCTTTGAAACCAAAAACCTGGAATCAACTTTACTCCTATTCATTTTCCATATTTAATTATTACCAGGTCCCATTAATTCTGCATCCTAAATTATTCTTCCTCTTTTCCCCTTGACATTGCCTAAGTTTCCCCTTGACATTGCTCACCATTTTTGCTTTGGTTATTACAGTATGTTCCTAACTTGTTTCTCTGGACTTCCATGATTTGGCAATAGAGTATAAGCTGCCTGAGGGCAGGCATTCCTGTCTGTATTTTTTATGCTATTTCCTTGGTGCCTAGAGTGGTACTTGGCACATAGTGGGCACCCAACTGATATTTGTTGGGTGAGTGTATAAGCAAATGTCAATAGGCCACATTTCCAGCCTCTTTACACACTTGTGTCTGATCCTCACTCAGAAGTCTAACCTGAGTGTTTACATTTCTGAATAAGTTAGGTCTTTGCATATTTTGTTCCATCGATTCATCCTTTGAGATTCAGCCCCATGTTGTCACCCATTAGAAGTTTTATCTTCCCCAGTCTTGGTGAGGTACCCCTGCCCCAAGTTCTACCTCTGAAGTAGCCTTTATCTTGTTTCCTTGTATTTGGTGATTAACATAAACCACAGGCTTTCTGAGGGTGGGGTTTGAAAGTATTTTCTCTCTATTCCCCAGCATCTGACCCATAAAGAGCAGTCTGTAACATTTCTTGTGTTAATAGAAACATTTCTCTTTTTAAAAATATTTATTTTTTTTGTAGTTGTAGTTGGATACAATACTTTATTTATTTATTTATTTATTTATGGTGCTGAGGATCGAACCCAGGGCCTTGCACGTGCTAGGCAAGCGCTCTACAGCTGAGCCACAACCCCAGCCCCAATAGAAACATTTCTATCCCAACTGACACCACATTTTGTTAATTGTATTTCAATGATAGTAATAATGTTCAATCATTTAAAGCTGGTTAGTGAGTCCAGTGAAGCTCATTTTACTATTCTTTTTATATTAAGTATGTGTAAAAATTAATTTAAAGATTATTTTGGGGGACTAGATCTATATTGGTCCCTCTATTAGATTTTAGGACCACAGAGATGTATAAACTCAGAACTTATCCTCAAATTGCTTATAGTCTAAACAAAAACTTGTATACATGATGTAGCATGTTTTTACAAATGTGTTTTCACATATATGCTATTTGTGGTATCTGAGAAGTTAGCTGAGGGAAGTCAAGAAAGGCTTCATGGAGGAGGTGTCCTTGAACTGAGAGGAAAGTAGGTGTGAGAGCAGTGCCTGTTTCTGTGGAATGGTTGTGTTAACCTGGAGTACAGGGTTCCTCTGGGTAGGATGGGAGATGGAAAGGCATTCTGGATCCAGATGGTAAAAACCCTGACTGGCACCCTAAGCTATATATACTTCATGTTCCTGTAGGTAACACGCAGATATTGAGGTTCTGTAAGTGGAGACTGATGTATTTAGAGTCATCCTTCCACCACCAAATACTGACACATGAGTTCCTACTTGCTGCTTCTTGGTCTGACTTTTCTCTCTCTCCAGGGTCTCAAGCCCAGTGGGGTCTATCAGTTTCTGCATGGATGCTGGGAGCAGGGAGAGAACGAGATGATCTATTACAGAGGGATATAAGTAGAAAGGCTGAGTTGCCAAATACCACACAGTGTGGGAGGCAGAACTAGAATTGTAACCCAGCTGTCTTTCTTCCCTGCCCAGGCAGTCCAGTACCGTCCCCAAGCTCCCTCTGTGTCTGGGCTGTGCCTTGCACACTGGGTGAGGTGTATCTTGAAGAAGGAAGAGAAACGACTCCAACTCCTGTGGAACTTCAGTGTGAAAGTGCGGATCACACACCAGAAAGACACGCAGAGGGCAGAGAGAGGAGCAGCTGGAAACTCTAGATGTCCATGTTGAGGAGCCTGTGAGGGACTGTGGGGGCTTTATGGAGGGAGTGTGGTGCAGCTTTGGGAAGGTAATAGTGGACAGAGCTGGGGCGAAAAGAAGGAGGGGGAAGGATCCATGAAAAAAACTTTCGGAGGTGAGAATAAAACCTACACTGCGATTCTTGTGCTTCTGGTCTGACAGCTTCTGTGTTGATGGCCTTGAGCAGCTAGCCATGTGGTTCCCAACAGAGGCAGATGTGAGGAATGGCAGGGGTTGTGGGGTAGGAGCAGAGGGCTTGGGCTCCTATTTCTGTCTCTTTCTCTTCTTTTGCTCTAGGGGCCTGCCCTACTGGAATCCAGGATGTGTGGGTTCCAGATTCTTCCCTCCCCAACCTCCCCCAGACATAAATCACAAGTGATTTCATTAAATGCACCTCCTGCTGGGTATGTTGGCTCATAATTCCTCTCTGATTAACCCCCACTACCCCGGCAAGTTTATAGGCCAAGAGAGGGAGGGGGAGAGGGGAAGGGTAAAAGGAGGGATGGGGGGAATCCCAGGCGGGTGATGGATGCCTCTGTCAGCCCAGCTCGTATTTATTAATAGTCTTAATACGGGAAGCAATAAAGGAAGAGAGGGATTCTATTAATTAAATCATTGTTATAATTAACTTTCATTAAAGGAGGATCAATAAAGAGGGGTTGAGATGGAGAGAGGAGAGATCCATTATCTCTAATTTCCTTGGAAGGGATTCAGGGAATGAGATGGTGTTGCTAGGAGACAGAGACGTGAGGGAAGAAGGAAGGATGTAAGATGTCATCCAGGTGGGGCTGGAAGGGGGGCGGACGGGAGGGTTTCAGGTAGTAGAAAGAGGGAATGGTGGGGGTGGTCCACTCAGGAGCCCTGAAGGGAATGGAAAGCTGTAGATAAGAGAGCTCTCTTGGGATGGAGAACAGGGGGGCCACAGGCATGTGCTCATGCAGGGCACTGCTGAGAGCCTTGGTGAGCACACAGGTCCTTAATAAATGCTTTATGATGCTGTGGATGTGTCTAGCTCGTGAAGCTGGTTAGAGTGGATGGATGTGTTTTCGCGACTGTGGAGTCACAGAGTGCACTGCGGGTGTGTGAAGACGGCAGCGGACGGAGAGGGAGAGGCAGGGATGGGAGGAATAGAAAATTTTCTTCAGAGGTATGGGGCTCAGGGTGTTTTTTACTAAGTGAGTGCTGAATGATGTTCACTCTTGATGGGAGTAATGCATGTCCTCTAGCACAAGGCACAGTGATGGCTGCTATGGTGTGAGCAATGGAGACCTTGGCCCCACTCCCCAGGCGTGCCCCACTGGACACTCCACCCTGAGCAGGGCCCATCAGTTTGCCTCCTCCCCGCTGCACTGTGATCCGAAACAGACCTCCCCTTTTGGGACAAAAGTTCTTTCACCTGCTATTCCCTCCTGTGCCAGCCCCCGGCCCCCCAGCCTATTAAGGAGGAACAGTGGGAAGATGACTGCTCAGCAGTTATCTCTGCCCCTCTCCCCCACACCCCTGGGGTCTAGGAGTCAAGCCTGGACCCTCTAGTCACACCTCCTATTAAACACACATTTTATGACAACGGTTACACATATCATATAAATATATTTGTCCAAACTACATATAAGAGGGGAGGGATAAGGCGGGAGGAAGAAGTTTTTATTGCTGTGGGGGACCTTGAGAAGGAGGAGAGGCCAGGAAATGAGGACACCTGGAATCACTTGTTCCCCCATCCCTCACAGAAGGCACAAATACATTATTTCTTTCCATGTAAAGATATGGGTGTATGTGGGGGGTTGGGGGTGGCAGGAGACAGACAGGAATCCTTAAAAATACAAAATGAACCTCCAAACTTAATATCTAAGGCTATGGGAAAGGCTGGGATGGGGTGTGGAAGTCAAGTGGGGAACAGAAAGAGGAACCACTGAAGCTGAGACCCAAAGAGGTCATGATGTCCACACTGCTGCCTCTATACAGGCCCCAGAGAAAACTCAGGTAAATAAACATAAGCCCCAAATAAGAGAAAGTGTGGTGCCCCAGGAACTGGCTTTGGGGCAACAGAGAGGGGAGTGTGTAGGAGCCTGTGTGTGGTGGCTCTAGATACCAGAAGCCTCCGGGGCTAGCAGTGGACAATTCTATTCCCAGAGGGGAAGGTCTTCTCCATCCTGGTTCCTCTAAAACCGCTTTCAGGGGATAAATGCAGCCACTGCTTCCAAGAAGGACCCCTGCCTGGGACAAAAGGGCCAGGCGGGAGAGGACGAAGTTAGAAAGCGTGGGATGAAAACAGGGCACACAGGAGCAGAATATTATGGAACTTGGTGTGATGGAAAACATGTATGAGACCCAAGTGTGTGTCTGTGCATGAGTGTGTGCATGTGTGTGTAAGTGTATATTTGTGCATATACTAGAGAGGGGGGGAATCACTCAAAGGTGAAAGGGTCCTGGGTGCTGAAAAAGAAGTGTCCATCCATGTGGTCCTCCAGGGCATCCTTGTCACTCTCAGCAGGGAAGCGCTCCTTACAGATAGGGCACTCCTTCCATGGGGGGGTGGCAGGGCCCCCAGTGCTGGCCTCTGACAGGGGTCCCACAGTAAAGCCACTAAAGAGGGACAGAGGGAAAAGGAGAGGGTTAGTGTACTCTGTGCCTTGTTGACCTGCAGACCTCAGGGAGCAGGACCCCCAAGCCTTGGCCCAGATCATCCTGCTCCTCACGCAGCATCCTGGTTGTCTCCGTCCCAGCCTCTCCTAGGGCAGCTTCCTCCCGACAACAGTGGAGCTTTTCCAGATCCCCATGGCCTCTTTTCTTGAGGTCCCGCTGATCTCTCTAGCGCAGGACCCATCCCCCAGCCTCCTGCTCTCCTCCCTCCATCTCCGTCTGCTGCCTAATGAGGCTGAAAATGAGGCTGACATCGTCCTTCATCTTCTTGCTCCAGCAGAGAAGGATGACAGCATCACTCCCTCCCTGCCCCGAGCCCATCTCATACCCAGGCAGAGCTGGGGGCTTGATGATAAAATCTCTCTTCCCCACACTCTGCCCTCCTGACCCAGGGAAGAAAAGGGAAGGCAGAAGGGGGCAATTTGGCACCTGAACCCTCCTCACATCCTTGGGGAGTTCCCCTCCCAAAGAGTTCCCCAAAGGAAGTCAGGGAAGAGGGACAACACCTCAGGTTCAGTCAAATAGCTGCTGGGTCCCACTTTCCTTACGCTCCTATCCCTGGGGAACTGGATCACCTCCCTTTCTCTCCCAAGGAGCCTACTAGGTACCTACCTGGTGGTTGGGGAAGGGGTAGGGGCAGGAGAGAGGGGATGCAGGGCAATTTGGGCTCCACGGAAGATGGTGCTAGAACAACACAGAAGCCAGTTAAAGGCAGGGGGAGAGATTACCTGGAGGTACCTGGGACTCTAGCACTGGGTGATTTTCTATGTCAACCAAACCTGCATCTCCTCCTTTTGGCTGAGGCCAAGAAGGGAAGGTTGAAGCAGGGCATGGTGACTATTCACACGGACGCTCTTTCCCACCAACTTTGTCCCCTCTCCCCTGTGTCTTCCTCTTCCGCACCCACCTGGCCATGTCATAGAAGGCACTGCCCAGTTCAGGAAGCAGCAGGTTGGCCTCCTCACCCCCACTCTGCACAGCGGCCATCAGGACTGATTTTTCGTCCTCAGCCTCCTGGGACCAAAGAGATAGGATAGGGTTTGGGGTGGTGTCAAAGGTGGGGGAGCAGCACATGGGGACAGGTCAGGGAAGAGAAGGATGGGACAGTGGGCAGGGGGCTGTAGGAAGAGAAAGGCAGGAGAGGCATTTTGATGGGAGCAGGTGGTTAAGAGCAGCAGGGGCTGGAAGTGAAGACTGGGCTGGACTGGGTTTTGGGGTGGTATCCGTTGGTGGCCTTGAAAAGAGGCTGTGTTTGCCTCTTCTCCCCTGAGAACAAAAGAGAGCCCTGGAGGCTGGGGATGGAGCTCAGTGGTAGAGTGCTTGCCTAGCAAGCAACAGGCCCTGGGTTCCTCCTCGGCTCTGCAAAAACAAAAACATAAAAGAGAGTGCCCTATGGCACAGACTTCCTGCTGTGGAGGCTGGGACTCCTGGGTGTATGTGGCCCTACCCACTTCTTACTGCTTCAGCTCAGGCTCCCCTTACTGCTCACCGAGTCAGAGCTACTGTCCTCAGCTGGCCCTGAGAGGTGGGGAGCAATGGGAGCCGGCTGGCTGATGACAACCAGGGGAGAAGCCTCTCGGGGCCCAGCAGGAGAAGAGCTTGGGTCTCCATGCTCACACAGGCCATAGGGCGGGAGCCTCATGTCTTCTGGGGACTCATCCTCTGAGTCTGTGAGAGGCGCTGGGCAGCCTATAGGAAGAGACAGGCAGAGAAAAAGAAGGATGCATTGCTAAAGGACTAGATCAGCTTGATCTCCTCTGGATGAGGGAGATAGTTACACTAAATAGGGGCCAGGGCCTGGGAAGGAAGAAGGCACTTCCTTCCTCAACAAGGGGAGGAGGAGTGGGAAGAGGTGTCACAAGATTGGGAGTATACAGACTCAGCCCCGCAGTGGTCTCCTCGTCCTCTGTGGCAGCATCCTCATTCCACTTCTCATCTGCCACCTTCTCCAGGCGGGCCTCCAGCTTTCTCATGTACTCTAGCAGTTCCTGGAGTTGGGGAGGAAAGAGACAGGTGCTTGAGGCTGGGAAGATGCTGATCTTAATGGCCTAAATGGCCTCTGCTGGCTCCAAGATGAACTCCTCCCTCCTCAGGATGAGGCGCCTTCACCATAGGTGGGGGAACATAGGTTAGATTTCCTTTCCCAGGACATTTCCTTCACCCTGACATCCCTCTCTTCTCCCGGTGATCCTCCCCTGCCCTACCAAGTCATTTAATAAGAGGAGCCATGGTCTCCTTTCTAGCCTCTGGGCCCTCTTAGAGATTCCAGTTTCTAAGACAAGAATTGACAAGAAAATACAGAGTTTCAAGCCCCCACATCTTCAGATCTGGCACCCAGGAGGCTGAGTTCTGGTTCTCACCTGCTTTTCTACCTGCAACTGCTCCTTTTCTTTCTGGAGCACACGCAGGGCGGACCGAAGCTCTGTCAACTCGCGCTTACTCTCTGACAACTGCACCTGAGGGTAGAGGGCCAGATGGAACCTGGACCTAGAATGTGAATCCAAGAACTTGGGCTTTGGGATCTGGATCAACAATCTAGAACCAGGTCTCCCCCACCTCTGCTCTGACATACACAATGCTCTTCCTCTATAAGATCTTTGTTCTGGCCACAGAGTCTCAGTCTCTGCTTCTTGAGTGTGGACACAGAAGATTGTCCTAGTCTGGGGTGTAGAGGCCTTGGTCATACCAGGAGAGCACTCTATAATTCTCCTAAGTCACCCTTTATAGGCCCATATATGGGCCAAGAGCAGATATTCCATATTCAAACCAAATAGGGCTGGAAGGTGTGCAATTGAGGTGCCACCTAACAAAGAAACATGCACCTGGCATGTCTGAGCCCACACTCAGGACAGTGAAGGAGCACAAATGCCTCAGGAGGACACAGATGGGGCTCATGGAGGTCAGGTGCCTCACCAGGCTAGAATCCTTTTCCCGGGCCAGTTCAGTCTTGAACACTTGGTTCTGGGTCCTCTCCTCCTGAACTGCCTTTTCCAGCCGAAGGATCTCTGCACTAAGCTTCAGGATCTTGTCCTTCTCTGCCTGGGAGATGGTCAAAGGAATGGGAGGTGAAGTCATGAAGAAAAAGGGACGGACGCCACTAGCAACAGCACCATCTCTCACCATGTCCCTTCTTTTGTTGAATGGAATGGTTGAGCCACTTTCCCTTCTTACCTCCCTCATTTCCTATACCCCCTGAATGAAGGGTAAGGACATGACAGCAAGGTGCTATGCTGACTGGGAATGGACATTATGTCAGGGCCTGGTACCTACAACAGTAATGTTTCTGTACCAAGGAAGATAACTAAGGAAGGTGCTATGGTGATGGGGATTGGGATACCTGATGTGGATCATGCCTAGAAAGCAGTGTATCTCCACCTTCCTCCAAGCCCTTCCTCGTCCCTAGGTATTCTTAGATTCTCCCAGAGGGTCTGCCCATATGTAGGAATCCCCATAGAGGTGGGGGCAGTAGCCATGAGACTGCCAGGTCCCCCTGCCCTTCTACCTCCACACTCTGCAGCAACCCTGCCCGCTCCTTGCTCCACTGGCATTTTTCCTCCTTCAGGTGCAGACTGAGCTCAGCCAGCCTGCCGGTGACTTCAGCCACTTCCAGGCGGCTGCGGTGTAATTCCGCTATGGTGCGGTCCCTGGCTCCTGCTGCACTGGCCAACTCCTCCCCAAGAAGGGCAGCCTTCTGCTGGCTTGAGGCTGCAAGCTCCTGGGCTCCTCGAAGCTGCTCCTTCAGGGGTTCCAGCTCAGCCTCAGGAGAAAGGAAGAGATGGAGGTCAGAGTTCCCTTGCAAACATTTATGAACCAGGTCCCCACTCCCCACTCTTGGCATTAGGGCCTGGGACTGTGTTGTTTAGTGTTTAGCTGTATCTCTTCCCCTTGTCTCTGGCCACCAGATTTTTCTACAACTAGCTTTTTGAACATAAACTGCTTCCTATTGCCTGGGGATCTTCACTTACCACTCGCTGCTGGGCCTGGCCTAAGGTATCCTTCATCTGGGCCAACTTGTCCTTCAGTCTCTGGGCCTGAGCACTCTGCTCTTCTTGCCGACCCTTGGCCTCCTGCAGCTCCACATTTAAGCGGTGGTTCTCCTGTTGTGCCATTTGGAGCTCAGCCTGATGGAAGTGGAAAGAGGTAAGAAAAGGGGTCTAAGTGTTGGAGTGAACAGGGAGAGGGTGACCTCTGTCACTGTGATGAGAGGAGAAGGTTCCATTTCTTAGACTTAATACAAACTCAAGTGCTCACCTCTTCCTAGCTCTACTTGATTCTCAACTTGTAAGAACTTGAACTGAATATCCAGCTCCCAAACAAGTATTTCCAACATCACAACCTGGGGTCTTCAATGTGGATGTCTCACATCCCACTTCTGCTTTCCCATTTTACCTTGTGTGTGTGTGTGTTACTGGTGACTAAACATATGCACGTGTGTTACTGGTGACTAAACCCAGGGCCCAAACATGCTAGGCAAGTGCTCTATCATGAGCTACATTCCCAAAACTTTTTATTTTGAGACAGGGCCTCACTATGTTCCTGAGGCTGGCCTTGTTCCTCCTGCCTCGGCCTCCTAAGTCATTGGGATCACAGATGTGTGCCAATGCACCCAGCCCTGCTTTTCAACTTAAATCAAAACCCAGTCTGAATGTCCTGCCAGCCCCTCCAACTCAACATATTCTACCACTCACCCTAGTCTTTTCTACTGTTACTCTCAGTAACAAACTAGCTCCCAAGCCACCCAGGCTAGATACCTTAGTGCCACGCATGGTTCTGTTCTCTCTAGTTGCCCACCAAAAAGCCTATTGCTTCTCCATCTTCTACTTTACCACTGAGATATTTCCCCAGCCATTTTTATTTTTAATTTTGAGGCTGTCTTGCTAAGTTGCTAAGGCTGGCCTTGAATTTGTGATCCTCCTGAGTCTGGGATTACAGGCAAGTGCCACTATGCCCTATTCTTTTTTAAAAATTTAACTCATTAATTACTTTTTTAAACCCTGGGATACTTTACACTGAGCCACATCCCCAGCCCTTTTAATTTTTTATTTTGAGTCAGGGTCTCACTAAATTGCTCAGAGCCTTGCTCAATTGCCGAGGCTGGCCTTAAACTTGTGCTCCTCCTGAATCATTGGGATTATAGGCATGTGCCACCAGCCTTGTTTTCTTTTTTTATTACTGTTGCAACCATATTAGCATAGGCTCTAGTCATTTTTTGCTTGGTTGACTGAATAAACTCAATAACTAGTTTATTTTTCACAAGGCAACCAAATTAAACTTTTCTTGGGGGGTACCAGGGATTGAACTCAGGGGTACTTGACCACTGAGCCACATCCCCAGCCCTATTTTGTATTTTATTTAGAGTCAGAGCCTCACTGAGTTGCTTAGCACCTCACCATTGCTGAGGTGGGCTTTGAATTCGCAATCCTCCTGTCTCAGCCTCCTGAGTTGCTGGGATTACAGGTGTGCGCCACCGTGCCCATTTTCAGATTAAACTTCTTTAAATATAATTCTTTAAGTATATATCATCCCTGCTTGCAAACTACCAATGCTTCTCACTGCTTAAAGAATTAAGTCAAGATCCTCTACAATCTGACCTAAGCCTTGTCTCAGAATCTTCACTCACACATTCACCTGCTCTGAATATGTATTCTGGTCTCTAAGCCTTTGCTCCTATCTCTCCGTACTTTTAAAGCAGCCTCCCTTTCTGTCTACTCAAATTCTACCCATTCCTCACTTCTGAGCAAAGAGTTTTCAAACCATACTCTATAGAAGTCCAAAATTCTGAGGAATTGAGGGGTTCTGTAAATATTTGATTTGAACTTGTTATTATTATTTTTTTAGTTGTAGTTGGACACAATACCTTTATTTATTTATATGTGGTGCTGAGGATCAAATCCAGGGCCTTGCATGTGCTAGTCAAGCACTCTACCATTGAGCCATAACCCCAGTCCTGAACTTGTTATTATTACTGTTATTATTTTCAGTGCTGGGATGAAATGCAAGGCCTGGTACATGCTGTATAAGCATTCTACCCAAATTAGACTCCAGCCCCAAATTGTTCTAACTTTTTTGAAAATTATGTTTAAAACTAGCACATAGACTCACAAGTTGACATACTGAAGATCACCAATCCATCAACGTGTGTTTCTAATTTGTTAAATGTTTAACATTTCTAAAAATGTTAATTCATTTTTGTGCAAACCTCAGAATAAAATTTCTATTGTATTTTCTATTGAAGTGAAGAGTAAACTGAGACTGTAAGACGAACAGTTCAAAAACTGTTACCACTTGCACCTACTTGTGTGGTGACTCAAGGTGTTCTCAATGTTGTACAATCCAAACAGAATATAGGAATGCATTGGCCGCTAAGGCTGACAGAACAGTCATCCATAATCCTTAATTTCAAAGTTTGGTATCCATCAAACTTACTTAATTGCTTTCATTACCTTATAAATTAATGTTTATGTTTAAATTCATAAGAAATAAATTTATAGTAATAAAATATTGCTTTTATTTATTTAGTGAGGTTCTACATAAGATGTAAAACTTCATTGGGGATGGGGAAGATGGGGCTCTGCAGCCAATAATACTTGGAAGTAGGAGGCTAGTTCATGACTTCCTTTTAACAGCCTTTTCTAATGTTTCTAAGATATGCTCTCATCCAACTCTTTGGAGTCCCATAATACTGTATTAGATTTCCCTTGTGACATTCCTTATATTCCACTTTCACTGATTTCAATCTGGGTGTGGTACTATGTTCTGAAGTAGAGTGTCCACAGGGTCTTCTTCACATTTTTGTCCCAGCACTCAGAAAGGGCTCCATGAACAGCTGAGAAAGCACACCAGCTCTGAGCCCGTGCTTACCTCATTTTGCTCCTTGTCTGCTTGGACTTCCTTCAGCTGCCCCAGGAGCTTCTCTTGTTCCCGAGTCAGGGCCTTAACTGCGTCTCTAACCCTGTGAGTGGAGAATGACATATCAGATCATCAGGTCATTCAGAGAAGGACCCAGACTTCTGTCCTGTGCTCTTCTTCCAGTGTTCCTGCTCCATTTGGCTCCAGATGCTCAAGTCCCCCAACAAAAGGACCCAATTCCAAGTCCCAAGAACTCAAGATATCTGGTTCTTGAGCAAAACTGAGAAATGTAACTATTTTCTTTTCTTTTCAAGTTATCACTTTTAAGGAATGTTCTGCTGAAGGCTCCCTATTTTTACTCAATTGAAAGACTAGAATCCAGTTTTTTTTCTAGATCAAGAGCAGTCACTATTGCTTATAAACTTTTGTTCTAGATCAGAAGTTGGCAGACTTTTTTGATAAAGGGCCTGAGAGTAACAATTGAAGCTTTGCAGGCCATGTGGTCCCTGTAATAATTACTCAACTCTGCCACTGTCTGTGAAAGCAGCCATCGTATACAGTAAGTAAATAAGCAGGTATTATAATAAAACTTCACTTATGAACACTAGGATTTGAATTTCATGTAATTTTCATATCCCAAAATATTATTATTCTTTTAATCTATTCTTCAACCAATAAAACATCTAAAAACCCATTCTAACTTATGGGCTGTACAAAACCAGGTAATAAACTAGATTTGGCATGTGGTCACAGTCTGCTGACCCCTGGTCCAGACAGTCCCTGAGAACACACACATCGAGTGTCTCCTAAAGGTAACACTAGTGTATCCTAAAGAAGCCTCTCATATCAACTCACTTTTTATTCTGGGCCTTGGGCAGAAGAACTTTTTCCTTTAAAGAGTTTTTAAAAATATCAAATCTACCAGTACTGAAAGAAAATTAATATATTTGATCAATGAAAAAATTGAAGAATTTAACCCCGTAAAAATTTAAAGGACAAACATGGAAAATAGTCAATATTTATGCTATTTGGTAGAAATAACAGTTTTCTGAGAGAAGAAACATTTATTCTTTATAGCTCCAAAGATCTAACCCAGGACCCATTGGTAAGGTACATCAAGGTAGAGTTTGGTCCTATACATAAGACTAAAGTGTCAGCTGTCCAAAATTGAAAGAGGCTGTCTCTTCAGAATGACCTTCTCTAATATACCTTACATTACTCTCAATGCTAATATTCTATGATTTTTTCTTTCTTCAGGGCTGAGAAACAAACTCAGGGCCTTGCTCATGCTAGGCAAATGCTCTGCTACTGAGCTAAATCCCCAAGCCCCTAAGATTTATACTTTTTTTTCAAGGGAGAGACCCAGATTCCTGGATCACTAGCTCTAGAATTTCTTAAGCGAAAACAGAGTCTAATCCTATCTTTCCTGTGGTAAAATTTGAAATCCATCCTTTCTTATCTTGCATTGACTATTCTACCCATTCTCTTCTTCCAAATCCTCCACTCCTAGCTCTTGCTTAGCTGTGGCTGCACAATAAATGGTAATTATAATTATTTCTGAAAATAATGAATACAGAATAGCATTTGGAAAGATGAAAAAGAGCTAGGTAGAAACATTGATGGTAGTTGGAATACTCTGAGTGAAGTTGAGAAGAGACAGAGAAACAAGGTGAGACAGAGATTTGTCTGCCTGCAATAGGAGGCTAGAGGGTGGGGGTCACAGGAAATAAAGGGCATAAAAAGGGGCAGAAAGTCCCCTAACCTGTCTAGCTCCACCTCCTTTGTCAGCACTTTCTCACTGATGGTCTGAATGTCATCTTCCAGCTCTAGGATGCGTGCCACATGGTCTCCCTGTTGGCGGCTCAGGATGTCCCTCTCTTCTGTGAGCTCCCCATGGGACCGGGAAAGCCCCTGGAATTAAAGTTCCCACAGAAGAAGAGGGAGATTGAGACTCATCTCTCAAAGAAAAAGACAAAGAATTAGGAAGAGCACACATATGTTAAACTCCCACCCCATCCACTGCCTTCCCTGAAAAGCCTGCCCAGGACATTCCCTCACCTGGGAACACAGCTGGCCCACCTTACATCCCCATGGTCAGAGAACCAAGTCTTATTACAAATTTGGGACATATCTCATGTATTTCAGTTTAAACCCACTTGTTAGCCCTTAAATCTATTTTCTTGATGTCAGAACCATTTTTAAAGCCCACCAACATCTCCTTCCCTCTTGTCACTGGGTTCCAATTTCAGATGCTGGGTGAGCAGCCAGGCCCAGCCCTTGACCAGGCCCAACTCCCACCTTGTACTGCTCTGTCAGCTCTGCATGATTCTGCCTGGCAGTCACCAAAGCCATGTCAAGCTCTTGCACTCTGCTCCTCAGCTCTGCCACCTGCCCCTCCAGCTGCAACTTCAGCTGCATCAGGTCATTCCGTTCTTGCTGGCTCTCATCCAGTTGGTTCTACGGGGGTAGAATGAGAACAGGGTGTGTCTGCAAAGCACCCATTATAAGGCCCCATCACTCCCCAGATGCACTTCAGGATTGGGAAGGTCCCACCACTCCCCAGATGCACTTCAGGGTTGGGAAGCCATGGCAATATGAGCCATGAAGGGGTGAGCAGGTGAGGCTACAGAGTCCCTGTCCACCACCTCCTCAGACACACCAGTCGGCACTCTTCTGCCACTCCTCTTACTTTCCCACCCCAGGTCTGGTTCTTTCTTCACCCAGCAGCGGCAAAAATCCCATGTCTGGCCTGAGGCACAGACAAGAGCAGGGAGGTCTCCTAAGTTTACCCAATCTGTTCTAGTGTTGGAAACACTTGGGTCAAATCTCCAGTACATTGTTTTTAAAAATATTTTTTCAGTTGTTGATGGACTTTATTATTTTTTTTTATTTATATACAGTGCTGAGAATTGAACCCAGTGCCTCACATGTGCCAGGAAAGCCTCTACCACTGAACTACAACTCCAGCCCCTCTCCAATACAATTTTTAATAGGTATATTAAAATAAATTATTGAACTCCTCTGAGCCTCTGCATCTTCATCTGTGATGTGACCCCTTAATCTGGGTTGTTGTGAGGCTTAAAATAAGTGTAATAACTGTGAAAACAGAACACCAAGTAGGAGCTCACACATCTCTGACCTAGGTGAGATGTGACTATCTTTCTATTCTTGGTTTGATTCTATTTATTTATTAGACTTGGGATTCTAGAGAGCAGGAGTTTGTCTAAATCACAGAAAAGCTACCCACTCTCACCTTCTGAGCCTCCTCGGCCCTTTCCTCTCATCTGGGGAACAAATGTGCTCCCACCTTGCCCTGGCCTTTGCCTTTCTTCAGGAATGCTTTCTGGATAATATCTGCCTCTGCTTCCTAATTCTTCTCTATTTGGCCCACTGGGAATATGATATAAGCCACATGTATGTTTAAATTTTCCACTAGTCACTTAAAAATGGAAGTAAGTGTAAATGTAAAAGTAAATGTAAAATTAATTTTATAATGTTATCTAATCTGGTCTAAAATATTACCATTTTGACATGTAATCAGTATAAAAATTATTGGGATATTTCACAGTCCTTTTTTTAAATACTAAAAAAACAGATTATATCTCAACATGGAGTCATCACATTCGAAGTACCAAGAACATGGTCAGCGCCTGTGGTACTGGATGGGAGAGGTCTGGGCACTCCTATCTGCTCTGGCTGCTCACCTGCCCAGGAGGCAAGCCTCATCCTTACTGCTTCTCAGTGGCCTCATCCACCCTTTGGATTTTCCTCTAGGGCCTAGGACAGGATGTAGTGCTCAAAGAAGGAAGTCTCAAAAAATTCTTACGAAACTGAGTTGCATGGCCTGTGAGTGGCTTGCTTTCCTGATTCACAAGTCCATGTCTATGTCAAGGTTGAGACTGTCCACTGAGCTACATATGTCCCTAGCAAGGTTGAAACTTTCTTGACAGGAAAACTTGGTGAGATCTTCAGTTGAGGCCATAAATGAGGGGAGAGGGAGGTGGGAAGGGCCCCTTACAATGTTCTCTTCCCCTCCCTTGCCTACAAGCAAGTCTATTGCTCTTTTCTCACTTGAAGCACGGTGGCCTTGGGGACAACAAGCAGGATGTCAGAGCCTCCATCAGCCTCCTCCAGGGTCACCAGCTCATCCATGGGCCTTGGCTCTCGGAACTGGAAAGGAGGGCTCTGACCACACACCCGGCCCTGGCGGTTCACATATCGGAACTGGTAGAGCTGTGCTCCTGGTTTGGGCAGGTAACTGGCTGTGGAAAAAAGAGTGGACCCAGAACCCCAGTATGATCCAGGATGTCAAGTGCTCTGCAGGTCCTTTCCTCATTTAATGTACCACATTTTCTATTGTTCTTGGCTCCAGACCCTTGCTCCCTAGCCCATATACCATTTCTCTCTTCCCACAGATTATTTCTGTTCCTTGGACACTCTCCTTCCTCCTTCCCAAGCCCACTGCCCCCTGTAATCATCATCATAATGCTAGCTGCCATGTATTGAGTGCCCACCTTATACCAAACACACCTTATACCAAACACTGCACTAACAGTTTTACCTTAAATCTTCATATTGTGCCTACAAGCCTGGTATCCCATTTACTGTTAATATAACAGAAACAAAGAGGTAAGTAATTTGCCTAAGGCCCAACAGCCTGTAAGTAACAGAGCTAAGATTTGACCCTAGGACTTTCAGAATCTTATGACTACCCTCCGCTCAATACATGATGCTACTTCACCTTCTTTTCACCCGCTAGTTCCATAAGGGGAGTTCCTTCTTTGGGTAGGTGATGGCATCAGATGCCCTCTAAAGATCCTTCTGTCTCTAAGTCCCTGTCTCTCAGTCTATTCTGAGAGCTCTGTAACATATATTCTTATTAGAGTATTTTTTTTCTTTTCATTTTGAGTTGGGGGTCTTACTATGTTGCCTGGGCTGGCCTCGAACTCTTGGGCTCAAGTGGTTCTCCCGCCTTGACTCTTGAGTAGCTGGGACTACAGGCATGGGCCACTGCATATAGCTCATATTCGTATTATAGCATTCACTTCCTTGTCCTCTGTGCCTTTTACATTTCTGAGCCCGGAATCCTTATCCCAACTTCTTTTTGGCTCTACCCTCCCAGTTTTCCATCTTTCCTTATACCTTGGAATTGAACACTGGCGTGGATAGGAGAACCATCAGTGGTACTATCAGGCACTGAAGACCACACAAACGTGTGGTAATCCCGAACACAGGCAGCCTCGACCTGAAAAAGACCAAGATGGGAGAGGGGTGTAGCAATGGAACTATCATCTAAGGATGGTGGAGGGGCTGAGGGATGGAACAGGGGGTAGGGTGGTGTTACAATGTCAAAGATAATAAGAGATAGGGAAAGTGGGGGGACACTACTGTGTAAGGAGAGAACAAGGCTAAGATGGAGAGAAGGTGAGTTTGCTGAGAAGATGACCTCTATCACTGGTGACATCTTTCTCTCTTCTTCCCTATCAACATAAGGAATCCAAGAACCTAGTCATTTCCCTTATTCTAATCAACCCATGTCCCATAAACCTGAGACAAGAGGGGTTTCAGAGTTACCTTGAAAATGCCAATCCAGTCACTGGCACTGGGCTTGGTGCCTGGTGGGAGGGTATAGTGACATTCCACCTTGGTGTTGGGGATGTAGGTCCGGGCAACATTCAGAAAGTTGACTCCTCCCCGGGACAGTGTCCGGCTTAGTGATGATTCTTCCATCCTGCCCTCAAGATATCTGCTCTCCTATGAAATAAAAGAGTTGAAAAAGTCTCTCCACTCTACTCCCATCACCCCAGCTCTATCTACACCCAGCCACAACTCTGTCACTATACCTGCAGATGAGGGTATACCTGGTTTCCAGCTCCTGAGGGTTATGGGACTTTTTAAAGATATAACTCTTTTTTTAAAATATTTTATTTTTTAGTTGTAGATGGGCACAATATCTTTATTTTATTTTGATGTGGTGCTGAGGATCGAACTCAGGGTCCCGCACTTGCTAGGCAAACGCTCTACTGCTGAGCCACAACCCCAGCCCTAAAGGTATAACTCTTAATCTCTAGAACATAGGTCTGGCCTTGCAAGTCAGTCCCCACCCTGGAGTCATGATGTACCTTCTGTTCTCATAGGCACTTCCTAGAATTCAGTTGTCTATAATTTTTACTCCCTTTTCACTGCCTCATTGACCAAGTCTCAGTATCCCAGGCTTTGCTCCCCATCAGTCCCTTCTTTTTGACTCTTAATTAACTTCCTTCAGAATTCCAGATTATTCAGTCTCCATTTCCCCATCCCATTCCCACAACTCTGGCTCTTGAACTCAAAATCCAACTGAGGTGAGATGGGAGGGAAAGGGAGAGAAAAGGGAAATTGCATGGAAATGAAGGGAGACCCTCATTGCTATACAAAATTACATATAAGAGGTTGTGAGGGGAATGGGAAAATAAACAAGGAGAGTAATGAATTACAGTAGATGGGGTAGAGAGAGAAGAAGGGAGGGGAGGGGAGGGGAGGGGGGATAGTAGGGGATAGGAAAGGTAGCAGAATACAACAATTACTAATTGGGCATTATGTAAAATTGTGGATGTATAACCGACGTGATTCTGCAATCTGCATTTGGGGTAAAATTGGGAGTTCATAACCCACTTCAACCTAATGTATGAAATATGATATGTCAAGAGCTTTGTAATGTTGTGAACAACCAATAAAAAAAATACACTAAAAAAAAATCCAACTGAGGTATGGGGCCTTCTCATTCTGGTCTCCTTATTTACTTCTGAGCTTGTGACCCAACTTTACCCAGGAATGAATTATGACACCTGAAAGCAGCAATTAATCTCTGAAAGAAATAGTTGAGTCTTTAGAACTGGAATATGGCTGGAGGTTGTAAGGGACCAACAGTTTGGGCCTGGCCCCAGAGCTCTCAGTCCATTCCCCTTTCTGAGATTTCTACCCCAGTAAATTCTAGAGAAGCAGAAGGCTTCTTCTCTCATCCAAGAAACACTGGCAAGGGGAGGATACAAGGAAAGACAGGTTCTGTCCCTTAACGTCATTATTCCAGGAAGTCAAGAATTCTGGAGGCGGCAGCTTCAAGGGTGGAGTGAAACACTCAGCAGGAACGTGGTAGTGTGGGGAGATGGAATGTGGGGGCCTGGAGCCAGGAAAGCCTCACCCCTGGACAGGGGATAGGCTGGAGAGTGGGAAGCAAGGGGCCTTGAGAAAGGGAAATGTATATTTAGTGTTAAGAAAAGGAAGAGATAGTTAAAAAGAACCTATCATTCTTCTTGGCCTGCAAGAAAATCTTGCCTCAAACAGGACTGGATACCTACTGGTCTGACTGGATGTTAACACAGTTATAACATTTCCTTCTCCATTTTCTCTCTGCTCCTCTTAGGTGCAGTGCTAAGTGCCTGAACCTGTCATCTGTCTACCTTGGTAGCTGAAGACATGCTATGGGATGGGGTTTGGAAGAAGGGATGTTCCAAGTAGCTGGGGAGAGTTAATTAGAAAATATGGGGGTGGGGTGAGGAAAGCTGACAATAATAACAATCCAGGGAACTCCTCAACCAAAGGCTGTGAGCCATCCCTCTTCTCTCCTCTCCAGCCCACTAATCTGCCTCGGGTCAGTTGCAGCCGATGTGTTCAATTAGCCATCACTACTGGTCACGTGCATGTCCCAAACACCACAAACCCACATCAGACTGAAAACAGAAACTCAGTGGAGAAGGAAAGGTGGGTCAGCAATATAAAAAGGTGTACATTCTTCCTCTAAAATAGAGATTGAATACAGTTTGGATTTTTCAAAAAATACCTGGTTAAAACTAATCCATATTTTCTCCAAGTATATTACTTCTGGGGGGAGGGGGAGTGTAAATTGTTTCGAAAGATCTACGCCTGAGGAACCCCTAAATACTCCCCACAATGAAGATTCATAACAGCTGCAAACATTCTTCCTGTCTGAAAAGTTCTGGGCACCCAAAGTATATGTGGTTAGATTCCGATGTTCACATGGGTATGGGTGTCAGTGTGTGTGTGTGTGTGTGTGTGTGTGTGTGTGTGTGTGTGCGCGTGTGCGCGCGCGATCCCTCCACTCTCTAGGGCTCTAGAATGCCTTGACGTTTCACAACTTGGAAGTTTTTCCCCTCGGAGATTCTGCGTAGTGAAGGCCTTTGGATTGGGGTGAGAGTGGGGTATGTGAGGGTCAAACCTTGCTTGGAAGAGAATAAGTAAAAATTTCGGCTCCCTCAAACCCTCCGTAAACGTATCAAGCTTTATAAAGAAGGCCCAAGAAGAGACTGAGGACAATGAGGGGGCACCCCTTGCTCAGGGGCCCCTTGAAACCAAGAACACCCAAAACGTGGGGGTGGCTTCTCCAGTACGTAAAGTATTAAAATCCAAACGCTCCCGCATCCGCCTCTATAGTTCCCTTGGATTATCCTTTCACAGGCTGGAAAGTGGGGTGACGCCCCCCCACCGTAAGACCACCCCGCGAATTAGGCCAAGTTTCTTACCCCACAGGCGATCAGCTGTTCCCTCACCTTTCACCAACAACAAAAACAGCACTCCGACTCCAGGAGGGGCGGGGGAGAGGGGACGCGAGGACTTCTGGAGTATGTGGTTCTTCCGCGGCTGGTTCGCAACTAAGCTTGCTGCTTTTAGGACTACACATCCCAGGATGCTGCGCTCAAGGGGGCGGAGCCGAGGGCGGTGGCTCAGCGGACTCCGCGCGGCCTTCTGGGAGGCGTAGTCCTGGTTTCCGTGATGGTCTTGAGGGTGTGGCCACCAAAAGACTTCATGGCCCATAATTCCTCAGGAGGGACAGGCATCGCTAGTGGTGGCTTCTGGTTTGTAGCACGCACTGGAGCGGGGTGTTGGGGGAAGGATTTACGGCTCCAATGCGTTCTGCCTGTTGCTGTACTGTGGAAAGATGCTCTCAGGGATTTCTTCCTCTTTCTGTATTCACAACCACCTGTGAGATAGGTCTAGTGTTATACACACCTTACAGGAGAAGAAAAATAAAGCTCGCGACGGTTGGAACTGTTCTGATCCTTATTCGGTGTTGTCATTATACCACTGCTGGTCACCATTTAGGGCACGAGAAATTCAAATTTGTGGCAGTAGTTTTCTCTTTGCTCCAACCTCAGGGACACATCTTGTTCTACACTGTTGACCATTTTCTTGCAACTTGAGGGTTGCTGTGCCGAGGGGTTGCTGACAGAACTCACACACCCAGACAGGGCTCCCCTAGAGTGGCCCCTGGGTCTAGGAAGAGGATGTATTGCCTGAGGTGGTGGTGGGAGCTGTGGAATGAGAAACATGACGTTGAATAGGGAACTTGGTATAATTCAGGACCTGTCACCACTCACAAACAAGCCACTTACAGGGGCCTATTTGCCCAAGCCTTTTAACTGGCTTAAATTAATTAGGATAACAATACAGTTCGTTGTTCTGCTTTTCTGTGTAAGAGGTGAAAGATTTACACTCCTCCCACACACCTCAAGTTGCATTAAAGACTTGAGCATCCTTTCCCCCTGTCCGCTTCCTACAAGTCTTTATTCAGAGGCATTCAGAGTTATCTCCCTGTCTAGGTGTTAAGGGATTACAGTCTAAGGATTGATTTTTCTCTTCTTAGCTGCCTGCTTTAATTTTCTGCTGCACTAACTTATGGGACTTTCCCAAGTTTTTTTTTTTTTTTTTCCTTTTATGACTGAATAGGGTATCTGGTGCCTGCCCTTTGGTGCCTTTCATCTGAAGATCTCCAAGCACTTAATAGGTTACTGGGCTGTGCAAGCATTAAGGTGACGTGTCTGTGTCATTAGTCAAGATTTACGAGTTAGGGAGCAAGCTGCTGGATGAGGAGATGGCTTGAAGTCCTGGGGTGGGCTAAGAGTAGGGCCTGTTCACGGACCCACATCTCAAGTGGATTCGTAGTTTTCATTTTCCACTCAAAGTAAAGGCTTATAAAAAACAAACAACAATGACAAAAACCAAAAACAAATGCAGAAATCCTCAGTCTCAGAGCTAAAATGATAATAACCTATTTATTGGATGCCTGCAATGTGTTTAATCAGCCTCATTTTATAGTAGGCCCTATTGTTATCCTCATTTTACGTAGGATGGGATTGAGGTGTAGACAGTGACTTGCCTTGAGTGGTAGAATCAGGACTCAAGCACAAGCAGTCAGTGTACCATGTTCACACCCAAGAAATTCTGGTATGTGTTATTATTTATTGATTGATTTGTGGTGCTGGGATTGAATCCAGGGCCTCTCATGTGCTAGGCAAGCTCTACTATTGAGCTACTTCCCCAGCTCTTTTACTTTTATTTTGATATAGGGTCTGCCAAAGTTCCTGAGGCTGACCTTGAATTTGTGATCCTGTTGCCTCACCCTCCTAAGTAGCTGTGATTACAGGCACATGCCACCACACCTGGTTGGTATGTGTTGTTAATTCCCATTGCTCTAAGAACAGTGCTGTTAATCAGGCAACAAGTGTTCACTGAGCATTTATGTGCTCAGTGCAAGGCACAGGTAATGTGAAACAGATTTATCTAACAAATATGTGTCAAGTACCTTGCTAGGTAGTCAATAAATCTTATTGAAAGAATGAAAATAAAATATAGATATATGAAGGACAGATTGGATTTGGATAGTTTGGCAAAATAAGGACTGGAAAGGGCAACCTTGGGCTGGGGTTGTGGCTCAGCGGTAGAGTGCTTGCTTCGCATGTGCGAGACCCAGGGTTCGAGCCTCAGCACCACATAAAAATAAATAAGTGAAATAAAGGTGTGGTGTCCAACTACAACTAAAAAATAAACATCAAAAAAAGGGCAACCTTATTCTAAGTTGAAGCAAAGGTTCAGAAATGGGAATGGATAGTGTTTATTGTAGTCTAGAGAGGTGCATAAATTAGCGTATTTTTTAAAAATATTTTTTTTGTTGTAGATGGACACAATGCCTTTATTTTAGTTTTATGTGGTGCTGAGGATTGAATCTAGTGCCTTCCACATGTGAGGCGAACACTCTACACTGAGCTACAACCCCAGCCCATAGAAAATTAATTTTAATTCTTTTATTTAATATTTATTTTTTAAATATTAAAATTGTGGTTGGACACAATACCTTTATTTTATTTATTTATTTTTATGTGGTGCTGAGGATTGAACCCAGGGCCTTGCATATGCTAGATGAGCACTTTACTGCTGAGCCACAGCCACAGCTCTAATTTTAGTTCTTTAAAAATCTCACATTATTGGTAATGGCTGTATTGAGAACTCTGAAGAAAGAGTGCTGGGGCTGGGGTAGTGGCTCAGTGGTAGAGCGCTTGCCTAACATGGGTGAGTCACTGGGTTTGATCCTTAGTACCACATAAAATAAATGAAATAAAGTATTGTGTTCAAATACAACTAAAAAATAAAAAGAAAAGAAAAAGAAAGAGTGCTGGGACTAATTAGTAATGTCTGCCATGTACTCTATTTAGAAGATGTCAGTTGTAGTAGATTGATATTGTTTGGAGTTATGTCCTCTTTCCTCTGCCCACTGCCGTGTGACTTACAGTATCTCTTGTGAAGGAGTAATATGCCTCATTTTGTTGACTTTGGGCTTGGTCATGTTTCGTGTCTTGGCAGATGGAATGGAGGAGATGTGACTCATGTTACAGTCAAGCATCCGAGTTTCCTCTTTTTTTCTCTGCCATGAGAATGGGCCTATTGCACATGAAGTTTTCTATTTCTGCCTGGGTCCTGGGATGAGACCTATGGAGCAGAGCTGCAGCCTACCCACAGCCCACATATACCTAAATCGGAGATAAATCTTTGTTGTAAGTCACCGAGATTTGGAGTTGGATTATGTTGCAGCAAAGCTGACTAATAGCCTTGGCTAGATAGTGGCAGATAAAGTTTGAAAGGTAGGTTTAAACCAGAGTCGAAGAGCATCTTAAATGCCAAGTGAGGTGGAGCCTGCTATGGTGTTTATCGGAAGTGTTTCTCTCTTTAACACAGAGCTGCACCACGTTTTCTAGTTTCTCACTTCTCTTCCCAGGTCTGGCCTCTGAAACTTCTTGAGGGAAATCCCTTATGTTCTTTCCTTGTGCGATTGATGCATATGATCTTAAGTGCAGTGACCTTGAAAGCTACATGTTAAGGATGTTAGAGCTGCCGAGCTGGGGGCATGGTGCATGCCCGTTAACCAGGAGGGCTAGACAGGGCAACTTAGCAAGACTCTGTTCCAAAATAAAATTAAAAGGGCTGAGGATGCAGCTCAGGGGGTAGAACACTTGCCTAGAATGTGCCAGGACAAGGCCTTGGTGGAGCTCCTGGGTAAAAGAGACATGGTTTCTTGAATCCTCACCAGGCACAGAACTGCCCACTCCTCAGGGTCATTATTTTGTACTTCACTTGACCAATATGTCAGTTTCTAAATTTGGGGCTTATTTTTACAGCAGGTGGTGTTTTCTTAATGAATTCATCAAGTTCAAAGGTTTGAACTTGGGACTGGGGTTGTGGTTCAGTGGTTGAGTACTTGTCTAGCATGTGTGAGGCACTGGGTTCAATCCTCAGCACCACATAAAAATAAATAAATATACAATTCGATGTTTTTCTTTTTTCTTACTTTTTTTAGAGGTTTGAATTTAATTCTCATCAGAATGGGAAGTTAGTCACTAATGATTTTTGAGCAGAAGAATAATTCTGTGAGGGCTGGGGCTTGTAGCTCAGTAGCAAGTGCCAAAGGCAACAGCCCCAATGACATAGGACTTCACACTAGGCCTACCTCTTCAAGGTTTCACACTCTCAACGTGGCTACTCGGGGACTCAGCTTCCAAGATGTGATCCCTTGGGGACAAACCACATCCAAGCCATAGCAATGTCTTTAGTTCTTTCTTTATTACTTGGGAGCAACATGTGATCCTCTGATAGTTCATCTACCTATTCCTTCATTCATCTTTATTAAATAAATTTGCAAAAAAGCATTATGGGTCAACTGTTGGAATCATAGCCAGTGACATTTGTAACTTTCTACATTCTTGAATATGTTCATAGTATTTATAGCCAACACTATGAATGGATCATATTATTATTGTTATGTAATTTTTATTGATGAAGAAACAAAAGCTTACAAATAGTAAATAACTTGGCTGCAGCCTATAGCTAATATGAGATTCAAATCAAGAATTTCTGACTCCCAAGTGCTTTTCTATATCTTCTACATCCATCACAGTCTGAATTCAACAGTGCATCAGGCCTGTTTTTTTTTTTTTTTTTTTGGTCATTTTGGCCTCAGTGTCTCAATTCATGCATCGAGGAAGATGTACCTGCTATAACGGACAACCCCAAGATCGCAATGTCTTCACGCCGTAATGAATTCTATTTCATGTAAGCCTGTGTGGATATTTGTGATCAGTGGACTCAAGAATCTAGATCTGTTCATGCTGTGGATCTGCTATCTTAATGATGTGGCTTCAGGTTGCCTGGGTGTCTTCCCACCAGCATCCAAGGAAGAGTCCGCCTGTGGAGAGGGCATAGCCACCCTTCTGTGTCTTGAAAGTAACACATCACTTCTATTTAGAATCTATTGGTAAGAAACAGCTCTGTGGTCTCTTGTTCCAAAGGCCCACCCCACTCTCTATCCAGTGGGTTAAGCCAACATTCTAGAATTAGAGTTGTTTTG